AGGAATCTTAGGACGCGCGGTGAGATTGTGAGCCTACCTATCATCACATAACCTCCCCTCACTTTATCCCTCATTAATTTAAAGAATTTCCCCCTTTGCTTATCACATCAAGGTAAGGGTACAACAGACTAACTCTTCATTCCACATACTTACCCTAGAAATTTGTGATGTCCTTGCATGATTTTACCTGCTTTGTTGCTTATCACTCTTCGATTATCATACATGTTTATTTGCTTAAGCATATGTTCCTAATTAATTTTAGACCAAGTTAGGAACTGCATATTATCGCTTAACTATTTGATCAAACATGCGTTATTTGGATATCTGTTAATTGATACTGTATTTTGGAACTTGCAATTAGTAATTTTATTCGGCTTATAAGAGCTCACTTGTCCTAATCATAATTGACCAATATAGTTAACCCACTAATTGCCCGATAAGTACTTACAGGAGTTGCATGAAGGGAAATTTTGGGGAACAAAGCTTTAATTAAGAAGAGGAAGAATGGGGGGTGGGATCCTTATGATATCTAGTTGAAGTCTCCCATATTCCTTATTAGTATCATAATAACATGATCCCTTGAGTTTTTCCATGTATTCAAACCCCTTTCGTTGTTCACATAAATATGGAATTCCTTGAACTAAAAATTGTGCATTTTCAGGGCTTTTCCAAAAGTGATTCCTCCTTCACAGTCACGTTCCAGTGGGGCCTTGGCAGGAGGTCGACCACCCACCAAGTGCCCACTGCCACATTCCAGTGGGGACTTGACAGGCGGTCGACCGCCCACCTCGTGCCCACTGGTCCGGTATGTTTTCTTGATTTCTTGTTTTTATTGATCCATTGTGCCTTTGTGTGTCTCCCTTGATACTTCTTATGTGTTTAACATGTAAATAACAATCTAGTTCTTGGACATGAAAGTCGAATTATCTTCCTAATTGATTTGTTTATAAGTTACATATAAATTATAGGGACTAATCCTATTTCTGGAAATCTAAATCCTCGGATACATTGCGTAATAAGTTTTGACCCGAAAGTCAATCTGAGTAAGACCGGTAGAAATCCGAGGAACATAAACCAAGTGGCCATCTAGGAATTATCCTTGGAAAAATATATTGCGTCCCTAAACTATCTTAAAACTATCCCTCTAGACTTTGGTCCATGATGCATAATAGACAACAAGCTTCCATCACCTTATTTAGAACCCTTTACCACTAAGTTAAGGACCCCCTAAACAAACATTTATACATAAATAGGTATATCACTACTATTCATATAAATTGTTACATTATATACAATAAATCCCTAGCCCCCAAACTAGACACATGTACCTTAGCTACGATAATCTTATGCAAACCCATAAGCTTGCCCTTAGCATATCCTAACCCTGAAATATCATTCCGTACAAATTACATCACTCTTATATATATATACACATATATATATATATATATGCACATATCCTAGGATAGTCCTAATTCTACTTTTCCCCCTCGCATGACCCCCCTGTTACCACTCTACCTTCCCTAAATGACTAAAAACTTTAGCCTCAACATGAGGGTTAGTGCATATAGCACTAACACGGCCCCGCAGAACCCTACCTCATACCGCAGCATGAAGGGGTTGATCGCAACCAACCATACAGACCGCCAACAGTTTGACGGCGGATCACAGCCCTACACACCGCTAACGTGCTCAGTCGGTGGACTGTGATCCTCTTACGGGGACTACGACCCTACACACCGCTGACGAGCACAGTCGGTGGATCGTAGCAAACCAAGCCCAACACACCGCTGAGAACCTTAGTCGGTGGGCGAAAAGCCCTACACACCGCTGAGGATCTTAGTCGGTGGGCGATGATCCTCGGAGACTACGACCCTACACACCGCTGGCCCTCAGTCGGTGGATCGCAGCTGACCATAGCCCTACACACCGCCGATCACTCGGTCAGTGGGCTATAGCGTTCCTCAGGCTGGTGGCCCTACACACCGCTGGCGCGTCCAGTCAGTGGACCATCTGCACACGTAAGCTTATTTATGTGTTCCCCTTTCCCAATGTGCTATTATGTGCTACAATGTGTTATGTGATGCATGATTTGGTTGAGATTGGATTGGTTGTGCCTGAGCTGTGGTCCAGAAGTTGGCTGAAGGCCAAATTGATCGGCGGTGTGTAGGGCTATGGTCGGCTGCGATCCACCGACTAAGGGCCAGCGGTGTGTAGGGTCGTAGTCTCCGAGGATTATTGCCCACCGACTAAGATCCGCAGCGGTGTGTAGGGCTTTTCGCGCACCGACTAAGGTTCTCAGCAGTGTGTCGGGCTTGGTTCGCTACGATCCACCGATTATGCTTGTCAGCGGTGTGTAGGGTCGTAGTCCCCGTAAAAGGATCATAGTCCACCAACTGAGCGCGTCAGCGGTGTGTAGGGATGTGATCCGCCATCAAACTGTTGGCGGTCTATATGGTTGGTTGCGATCAACCCCTTCATGCTGCGGTATGAGGTAGGGTGCTGCGGGGCCGTGTTAGTGCTATATGCACTAACCCTCATGTTCGGGGCATGATTTTCGCTAAGTTTGAACCTAGGATAAGACTCTTAAGACCAGACTTTAGGACATTAGGCTTGAACTCTAGGTATTTAGGAACATAGGATTCAGGAATCTTAGGATGCGCGGTGAGATTGTGAGCCCACCTATCATCACATAACCTCCCCTAACTTTATCCCTCATTAATTTAAAAGAATTTCCCCCTTCGCTTATCACATCAAGGTAAGGGTACAACACACTAACTCTTCATTCCACATACTTGCCCTAGAAATTTGTGATGACCTTGCATGCTTTTACCTGCTTTGTTGCTTATCACTCTTTGATTATCATACTTGTTTATTTGCTTAAGCATATGTTCCTAATTGATTTTAAACCAAGTTAGGAACCGCATATTATTGCTTAACTATTTGATCAAACATTCGTTATTTGGATATCTGTTACTTGATAAAGTATTTTGGAACTTGCAATTAGTAATGTTATTCGTCTTATAAGAGCTTACTTGTCCTAATCATAATTGACCAATATAACTAACTCACTAATAGCCCGATAAGTACTTACATGAGTTTGCATGAAATTTTGGGGAACCTAGCTTTAATTAGGAAGGTAAATAATGTGGTGTGTGATCCTTATGATATCTAGTTGAAGTCTCCCGTGTTCCTTGTTAGTGTCATAATAATGTGATCCCTTGATAATTCTTATGTGTTTAACATGTAAATAACAATCTAATGCTTGAACATGAAAGTCGAATTATCTTCCTAATTGATTTGTTTATAAGTTACACTGAAATTATAGGGACTAATTCTATTTCTAGAAATCTAAAACCTCAAATACATTGCATGTTAAGTTTTGACCCGAAAGTCAATCTGAGTGAGACCGCTGTAAATCAAGTGGTCATCTAGAAATTATCCTTGGAAAAATATATTGCGTCCCTAAACTATCTTAAAACGATCCCTCTAGATTTTGGTCCATGTTGCATGATAGACCACAAGCTTCCCATACCTTGTTTAGAACTCTTTACCACTAAGATAAGGACCCCCCCTAAAACAAACGTTTATACATAAATAAGTATATCGCTACTATTCTAAATATATTCCCCTAAAAATCCTATATATATCTAGAGTATGTAGTAAACTCCAATTACATTCATATGCCACCCTTAAACCAAATTATTATTATTATTATTATTATTATTATTATTATTATTATTATTATTATTATTATTATTATTATTATTATTATTATTATTATTATTATCATCATTATTATCATTATTATCATTATTACTATTATTACTATACCCTAATCGCCTGATCCTAAAAATGGTTGCGTCATATACGGTACGTCCCTATATGCTTTTATATATATATATATATATATATATATATATATATATATATATATATATAAACCTGTGAGCCTATAGAACATCCTCCCTTATTCATACGTATTCATATAAATTGTTACAGCCATAATATATACAATAATATCCACAGCCCCGAACCATACACATGTACCCTAGTTACGATAATCCTATATACATCCATGAGGTTGCCCTTAGCATATCCTAACCTTGAAATATCATTCCGTACAAATTACATCACTCTTATATGTATACACACACATAACCTGAGATAGCCCTAATTCTACTTTAGCCTCATCATCAGATCATCAATTAATTTTGGAATTAGCAATCAAGGGTCTTCAACTCTAAGTCGTTTAGGTATTCTGGGCTTCTAGAGGTAAAAATTATGCCTACCTAAAAATCTAATTACCACCGAGGTAAAACTAATTTTCCTAAATTCTGTCTAAGATTTCCGAAGATAAAACCTTTAGTACTTGTGAATATAGGTGGAAATTTATATTTTTCATATGTATTGCATATCAAATCACATAGCTCGCATGTTTATGTCAAAACACACGCTTACACACATCCATATACAAAGCAGGCTAGGCATCACACTATGCATATATACAATTATCATTAACTACAAGCAGTCTGCATATAAGTGCCAATACTTGTGTAGTCTGCATATAAGTGCCAATACTTGTTATGTGATCACCCACTGTTATCCATGGTATGCAAAATAAAGACCACTTATTCAATGTTGGGAAACTATTTTGTAGGAGTATTTGGTAAGCTTAAATGTAATTGTGATTTTGGTGTTGTAAGTAATGCCATGTAGTAAGTTTGTAAACTAGTTTATAAGATGTTGACCATGTAGTAATACTACTTTTGTAGTGAATTGGTTATGTTAATGCCAATATTGGAGCATTTTATGGAGAAGTTTATGTGAATTGGTTATGTGAACTATCTTGGAGCAGGTTTTGTGTAAGTTGTCTTGATTATATACACACACCATCCACTATCAAAATGAAGCTAAACCATCCACTGTCAAAATGAAGCTAACCATCCACTTATCATTAACCATCACAAGCCAATTCATTACACCATCCACTGTCAAAATGAAGATAACCATCCACTTATCATTAACCATCACAAGCCAATTCATTACACCATCCACTGGAAAACAACCTGATTACAGTACTACAAGCTGCAATAACCCTACATTTGCTACATCAGATTTCATCCATGTATTCATAACAAACAGTGCAAATACAAAACCAATAATTCCAAATCCATTAAAAAAAAAAATTAAAATTGGACTCCAAAATCTTCTTATTAAATTTATGATCTTTTTTCTCAATTGTCAAGTGCAGCTTGTCAATTTCCTTCTCATATTTGTCTGCCCTCTTCAACAATCCTCTAATGACATTTGCTACACGATCGGAGACATCATAGTCTATCCATTCAAAATACCTGCAAGTCTCAGGCAGCCAGGAACGTAACCTTTATTATTTCTTCTTTCCAATTAAACTTCGAAGTATGTAGTAAGTGCAGCCTGTGTAGCCTTCTGCTTTTCTTCGAGAGCCTTGGATTTATCAACAGCCAAACAAACTCTGATGCAGTGATTGAGATCGCGATTCATTTTCATAAGAGAAGAATAATCATATTTTAAATCAAAAAATACACTGCTACAATCTTCAAGACTGGTTAATGCCGATGAGAGTTTTAAGTTCAAGCTATCGTAGTCTCCGTTACGGGCCAACTCCAAACTCTCCTTCAATCTGATACATACCATACCATAGATTATTACTCGATCAACATAATATAATATATAACAAAAACATATGGTATCAATTAAATGAATTTGGATTAACCCCAGTCAAGATTACTAAGGAAACAAACTTTTCATCACAAGGTCAAGAGTTCGAATTCTTACCCCCCTTAGGTTGAGCCAATCAGCTATAGGTAAACTAAGCTAGTTTACTTCTTTGTGATTCTTCACCACTTAGGATGGGTTTACCTAGGCCCGAAAGGGTCATGGGGTTTTCCTCATTGCTGAAATGACTAAAGATACAAACTTGTAACCAGATCCATTAGTGATTAAGGTAAGGATACAAACTTGTAACCAGATCCTTTACCGATTAAGGTAAGAAAACAAACTTATAATCACAAGGTCAAGAGTCGAATTCTAATCACTTTAGTTTGAGCCAATCAGCTATGTGATCCTTTACCACCTAGGATGGGTTTACCTACCCCAAAAGGGTAGTGGATTTTCCTCATTACCGAGATGACTAAAAATACAAACTTGCAACCAGATCCTTTACCGATTAGGATCAAAAGGAAAGATTTATCAAATACACACTCTCAGGTAGTAGTTGCGGTTTCCCTCATGACCCAAAAGAATTAAACCAATTCAAATTCAAGTGTGTGCATATACATATATATATATATATATATATATACCTTTCTCGGGTGTTAAGGTAGGAGTGATGGCAGAGGCTATCAATGGTCTTTCCCAGAGTGGCCGACTTACTTCTATGGATCATAGCCCTGTAATCACTACTGGAGATTGAAGTTATGTGTTTCATAGCCTCTGATATGGCCATGCACATTGCCTGGTTCCAGTCCGCGGCTCCCTGCACCACTTTCTCGCAGAACTTTTTGTCATCTGCCGTAACGCAGTAGCTGCTACTGTTGTCTGCATTCGCATGGCTCGTGAAGGTTAGATACACGCCTAACCATGCCATAATAATGCATCTCTTCACCCCCACCATTTTCAGCCTTAATTATTAGCTTCTCAAAACCTGTTATTTTAATTTTGTTTTATTTGTTCTTGATTTTCAAGAATTCTGATCTGAAGTGAAATATATATATGTGCGTGGCTGGCTGGGTACTGTTATACAGAACAGAAATTTTAGGATGCTCTCACCATGCTGTGTAGTTTGCCATTATTTTCTCATCTTTTCAGGCTTTGAAATTTTCAAAATGAACTGATAGTTAACCACAAAACGTACTTAATTAGTTTATGGTTAATATATATAAATATATAATATATAAATATATATAATATGATTATTAATACATGATGAATTATTGGAAATAATGGACATATCTACATCTCAAACTTATAAAGTTATTAATTTAACTAGTTACTGTAAAATTATAAGAACTTGATTTTTACGGCCATTATCTTTTTTTTTTTTTTTTTTTTTTTTTGTACTTTTTATTATATAAAGTTTCTCGATCAGGTTGTGATCCGTAGTTACCTGATGATTCCAATCTCAAAGTGGTAACCACCCCGCTGCCTGCATTGGCTAATCTTAGTGTGGCTGACTTACTAAACCCCATTTCTCATGATTGGAACATGGAGCTTATTGAGGATATGATACGTCCTTAATTGTAATTATGTGATTTAATTAGGAAGAGTTAATTATGCTTTTAGAATTAGTAGGATAATTATGATGGTACAACTTAATTAGTGGGAGAATTAATATTGTGTCTAAATTAGCATAGGAAAATTATGTACCATTATCTTGTATAGTTAGTATATTTTTGGTAGGTTAATTATATTATTATAGGTATTAGTAAATTAGTATAAATAGGTTATTGTATATGAAGATGAGAGGTAGAGAAGTATATTATTATTCAAGTCTTTTAATTATTCTTCACGGAGCTCTCAACGTTCGAAGTGTGAAACTGGAGTTTACCGTGACCGAATACGATTAGGAGCCAGAAGTCTGCTCGAAAGACTTCTTCCATTGCGTACCAAATTTCAGTACGTAACATTGCTGCTCTCATTGAGTCCATCGGTGAGAGTATTCCCTATCTTTTTATTTTTATTTTTATTTTTATTTTTTTTTTGAAAACAAATAGTAAAAAAAATTGACCAAAAGAAAAAAAAAAACAAAAAAGAAAGGAGAAAACGAAGTCAAAAAAAAAAAGGAGAGAATTTGAAAAAGAAAAAAAAAAAAAAAAAGAAAACAAGCGACATAAAGGAAAAAAAAAAATTAAAAAGAGAGTTTTTTTTTTAATTATTATGGAAAATATTACTTACCGGTGCTTATTGGTTTCTGTACACCAAGTATGATATCGATGATTTTGTATTATATGAGATCTTTTAATTTCTATAAAAGGACCCGTGCAATATATTCATATTTTAAAGGATGATGGTCACACATTCCAAGCTTTGGTATGGTTTGATTCCATTATGGATTCAATCATAGCTAAACAAATATTTCATGGCCAAAACATTTATGATGAGTATTGCACTATGAATAAGAATTTCTTGATGCAGAATTAATAATGGCTACATGCGGAGAAATAGATCATCAAACTTCCACTCTTCTAGTGGAAATTGATGCAGAAGTGATAATTGAAAAAGGAATTGGTGATAATGTGGTTGACATGAGTTCTTGTGCAATTGTTGATGAGGCCTATACTAATCAAGCCATTCAAGAAAAAATTCAAAATTTTACGGAGGAGGAGGTAGATCCTGCACCAAATAGTATGGGGGAACACAACACGGTTCGCATGGATTCACCCCAAATTGAACCACCAATCAACGATAAAGTATGTTGGAAATTTATATAGTAATGGAGATTAATGGTTCAGATGAACTACCATGAAAGCTTAAATAATATATGGAGCTGTGGAGTTGTAAATATTATTTTAGTTTGGTAGAAAGTTAATTAAAATACTGGGAGAAATTTACATAGCAATATGCTTGTGATATATAGCTATGTGCTTGTGATATATAGCTATATGCTTGAGATATATAGCTAATATGCTTGAGAGTATATAGCTAATATGCTTGAGAGTATATAGTTATATGCTTGTGATATATAGTTAATATGCTTGAGAGTTATAGCTAATATGCTTGAGAGTATTAATGCATGTTTCGATATTTTCATGCGTAAGATTTTGAGGCATTTTGAAGCTATATGCTTCAAAACTACACTTAACATGCTTGAAATATGCTCTTCTACATTTTGAAGCTATATGCTTCAAAGTTACACTTAACATGCTTGGTATACAGGGTTTCTGGACTCTGGTTGTACATTCCATATGTGCCCTCACAAAGACTAGTTCATCTCTCTGGAACCGGTTGATGGTGAAGTTGTCTTGCTGGGTAATGATACCCAATGCAAGGTTAGTGGAATTGGAAGTGTTCAGATTAAAACTCATGATAACGTTATCAGGACTCTTACCAATGTTCGGTATATTCCTGATTTGAAACGCAATCTGATATCCTTGGGCACCTTGGAATCTCTGGGGTGCAAGTACATAGCTGAAGGTGGAGTTCTGAAGGTCATAAAAGGCTCTCTTGTTCTCATGAAAGCTTCTCGTTCTGGAAGCTTATAGATGTTGAATGGCAATACTGTGACAGGTTCAGTAGCGGTATCCTCATCGATGTCTGATGCAGATCTCACTCAATTATGGCATATGCGTCTGGGGCATATGAGTGAGAAAGGCATGCATAACCCGAGCAAGAAAGACCTACTTGGTGGTTCAGGTACGGGTAAATTAAAGTTTTGTGAGCATTGTGTTTTTGGGAAACAAAAGAGGATTTGAGTTTAGTCGACTGTTCCAGTTGTTAATTCCACAATGGATTTGATCGAAGGTGGAGATTGTTAAGAAATAATAAATTTGTGGCTCAAATTCATTGAAGACTTTATCATACCAACTATCCACATACGTCATCACCGGTTGTGGGTCTTCACGCCATGCAACAACCGCACTTCACTGCATATTCTCCAATTATGCGCATTTCTCTCATAACTCATAATGTATAAATAGAGTAGGCTTTGGCTTTGTAATGTACACCTCTTATTCTTACATCAATTCAAAGTTTTGAATTCAATCTTATCCATTTTTCTTTCTTTCACGTAGAAATATATATATATATATATATATATATATATATATATATATATATATATATATATATATATATGTATATATATATATATATATATATATATATATATATATTTATATTTTCCCATCCTTATTAATATATTTTGTCATTTTATATATTTTCTCATTATTTAACTTCTATAATTCTCAATTTTCGATTCTTCGCTTCCGCATTATTCTGCTATATTCCGAACAATATATATATATATATATATATATATATATATATATATATATATATATATATATATATATATATATATATATATATATATGTATGTATGTATATAATTTTGTTTACAGTTACTGGCTCAATATATATTAATTTTTCCAGTGATAGATATATCAATCGGGATATATCTTATCTTATGGAAGTTGAGTTTTAAATTACAGCAACTTCCATGTAACTTCTCCAAACAGATATATTTTTCATCTATAAATATTTTGGAGAAACTTCTGAAAGGGACATGCAATTTACAGGCAATCAATTTGCAGGAAATCAAGATACTTCACAATCCTACAGTTCTACAGGAAATTCTAAAACAAAGCAACTTGAGAATTTCATTCATCTTCTTGTATCCCATAAGATTAAATCTTGAACCTTGTTGCTTTTATAAAGGGAGATTTAAAGCTTATAGGAAAGTGATTACACGCCTCAAGATATCAAATGATCCAGTTTTTGTTCCATGTTGTATTCTATATTTTGTTGTATCTCAAATGTATTACAGAATACAACCACTTTTTCCAACAATCTATAAACTTTAAAGTTATAAACCTGTGATCATTGGTCTTGCCTTGAAAGTTTTGAAGGCAAGATGTCCGGCGTGAAAGAACAGTTTCCCATTACGGTAATTTTTTTCGGAATGAGATTTCGAATATGGTGATGGGAGGATGACATAAATCACTTTTGGGTTTGTCTTTGTTTATGTACAAGAAGATTTCTGTGTAGATGTTTGCATGGTGTTCATGGCAGGTTGTGTACATGTTGTACATGTGGATTAAATTCATTTTATGCAGTTTTTGTTTTCTTCTTCACTATAAGTTATGGGGCATCAAGTGATGCCAAGATGATTAGTGAGATGTGTAAAATGATTTTATTTAAATAAATCATTTTGTTAGCCATGATTAATTGGCATGAGAAGATGTGTACTTCACTAGAGTGGGTGTGTGGTTTCAGCATATCAAAGGCCGGAAGTGATGACCATTAAAGCAGATACAAGTTACAGGATGAGATCGATACAATACTTTTTATTTGTCTCGGCCTCGGCATGAATGTAAGTTTTATTTTGTTTACCGGTTAAGTTCTGGCTTAGGTCTAGAAGATATGCATGAGATTTTTTTGAATTTTGCATAGCCTGTTAAATACAAGGATATGTTTATGCATGTATATAAATATTTTTATTGAGACTCTGTCTCGATTGCATGCATAGTATACAAGGTACATGTATAATATGTTGGATCTTGAGGTGCTGTAAATCTGCCAAATTTGAATTAATTTAGTGTTATCAATTTTTTGTTTTCTTATGCATTGTTACAACGTTTAATGATTGTATGTTGAAATTAATTTCAATGTCATGCATGAAATTATTGATAACTTTAGCACACAGATAATTTTATCCTTGTGAAAGTGTGAAATATTATGTTATATATATTTCTGATTAAGACAGAAAGCCTTTGAAATATTTGTTATATTTCTGATAAAGGCAGAAAGCCCAGGAAATATTCTGTTATATTTGTTATAAAGACATACAGAAACTTTTATGCATGAAGTATGCATAATGAAATTCATAAAAATTTATGAATGTATTTAACACACAGTTTCTCATATTGAGAATGTGTTAAAATTCTGAAAGCTAAAAAGTTTACTAGTTTATCTAGTATGGAAATTGACAGTGAAAAGAAAGTTCAAATTTAAATCATGGATT